TTAGAATCCTGCACGCCAGGACGCCCTCTTTAGTACCAATATCCAGATTGTAGTACAAATGATACGTTCTGTAGAAATCTTTAAATAAAATATATATTTAGTACAAAATATATAATGAGCGATTCTTTTAGAGAATCAATTAATCTTATTATGAATTACGAAAGTAGTCAATTTTAGATATTCCATACCTCCCGATCACATCCGATGATTCCTATCACTTAATTCGTTTTTTAAATAAATAAATAAAAATGTAAATTTGAAATAAAGTTATTTCCGCTCAATCGATTCTAAAAGCAATCAAATCTAATTGGTCGAATTCATCATCAATTTGAATCTGAATAAAAAATAATAAGGGATGGCAATTGTCGCCGAATTCAATACGAAAAGTGGTCCCTTTGTTATATCGGAAGTAATTGACAACAACCCTTTTATTGTTATTAAAAATTTGCATTTTAAGGGAATAGAATTGGAATCAATTGTGCGTGGAATTAGTTTTTGAGAAATTTGAATAAAATATAAAAATTTGATGCGGAATATTTCGATTTTAATATTTTGTTAACAAATGTTTGTTCATTAATTTCTTCAAGGCAAGATTCATGAAATTAGAAACTATATAAGGATTTGGATATATATGAAAACCAAAATGATATTAAGCTTTCAACTAAAAGGGACTCTACTGACAAGCAAAGCCGCAAATTTTTATATATATTAAAAAAACAAGAGAGATGATTTCATACAAATAATTAACTTCCCGTAGGGTAAGTTATTGTAATAGGCCGAAAATCGGAATTGAAATTTTTTACATTTCTCGACGTTTTGAAGGTTTCTGAACATTTTGGCATACTTCAGAAAAAATGGATGTGTGTGTGTGTGTATGTATGTATGGATACAAATTTTCGCCCACGTTTTCGGGCGTACGGATCAACCGATTTGAATGGTTTAAAAAACATTCGATTCCTATTGATAAGGAGAAGTGCTGATTAGTTTTTGGCAAAGGCAGGTCCAGCCGTTACGGAGATACAGAGCAAAAAGCGCAGAAAATAGAAATCGAGTTTTTGAGAGAGCTGAGCATCCGATTTGAATGAACTAAAAAACATTCAATTAGTAATGATTGGGAGAAGGGGTTATTAGTTTTTCGCAAAGGTAGGCCCAGCCATTTCGGAAATACAGAGCTAAATGTACAAAAAATGGCAGTTTTTGAGAGAACTAAGCGTCAGATTCAATTGATTCAAAAAACTTTCTGCTTGTCTTAATAAAATAATTGATTTTGGAAAAAAAAATTGTTTCAATTTTTTTTTTTTTTTTAATTTTTGTATATCGAAAATAATAGTTTAAATTTTATTTTTAATTCTGACTATAGTTCTAATATACTTTAAACAAATAATTTCAACTCTGCAATTCAGTTCATATAATTCTTATAAATATTAGACAATGTTACAATATTTATAATAATCCATTTGAAAACATTCAATATTCCTCGAACATTTCGTTACGGTACGGAAAGTTCCAGCAATTTGCCTTAAGGCACGATGCCACCCACCCCACTAGTTCTATCAAATTTTACCGATTTTTCAACCCCATTAAATAAATTAGATCTTAACACTAAGAAAGGATTTTTTTCATATTTTTGTTATCTTTTCAGACTAATATTTTAAAATATTTATTCATTCCACCCCTAACTTTTCGAGGATTTCATAAATAATCCTTTAGAATAACTTATGGCCAATTTTAGAACATCAAATTTTCCAATCGATATAATTCGATAATCCTCGATATAAATATATACATACATGTATACATATATAAATATATGTATGTATATTTATATAAATTAAGCACCCCAAAGTATGGGCTAGATGTTAAAATTGATTCAATTTCACTGACGACTAAAGTCGTCGTCTCCTTACACTCGAATTAACACAATATTTAAATCCGTCGGTTTCACAACCCCAAATTAATATTTTAAGGGTGGTTTTAAAGTGACCAAATGTTACTAATTTTATTTATCGAAAATAATCCGATGAAATGGATAAAATTATGTAATAAAATTCAATCGAGCGAAATTTATAAGAATAGTAATTTATAATAAATTCTTTTAGATTTTTTTCCTTTTAATATATTACGACTACTTGATATACAGTTGTCAGTATTCAATTTTCAAGTTTTAATATTATTGTAAATTTTTATTGTTTTAAAATTCTTCTCGTTTTTATAATTTTAGCAGCAAATTTAGAAAAAATGGGAGTCGTAATTGCAATTATAATTTGTAATATTGTAAATTTTCCTTATTTTCTTTTGTTTTTCGAGAAAAAGGAAAATGTTTGTTTAGTTTTTTTTAGTAAAATTTTCGGAGATTTTATAGATTTTTCTATTGTAGATAATTTTTCGAGGATATTTAGGAAAATTTTAATTAAAAAAAAAACTAGTGGTGTATGGCATCGTGCCTTAAGGCAAATTGCTGGAATTTCACGTACCGTAATGAAATATTCGAGAAATTTTAAACGTTTTCAAATATATTATTACAAATACTGTAATTGTTTCATTATTTCTGCTATCTTGTTATATCCGAACACAAAATTGAAAAAGTGCTCCCGTATAGTCACAGTCTAAACGCATTTGCAAATAATTCTGTGCGACATTTTCATTTATACTGTGTCTAGGCGGCATTTTCACATTTTTCAATAGTTTTCACAAAATTGGAAAAGTGCTCCTGTACATAAACAGTCTAAACGCACTTGGGTAAACATTTGTACCTGAGTGGCGTTTAGATCGTGCTTAGCCTGGGTCATTTTTTGAATTTTTAATCCAAAATTACAAAAATTTTTTATGGAAAATAAAAAAAGATGTGATAATTTTTTATCCTCAAAAGCAATTGTTTTGTCAATACAAGCAGAAAGTTTTTTTATATCATTCAAATTTGATACTCCGTTCTCTCAAAAACTTGATTTGTATTTTCTGCACTCTTTGCTCCGTATCTCCGTAACTGCTGGACCTGCCTTTGCCAAAAACTAATCAGCACATCTCCCTATTAATAGGGATCGAATGTTTTTTAAATCATTCAAATCAGTTGATCCGTGCGCCCGAAAACCGATATAATTATAGGTCAAGTGTTTTATAAATATTTTTGTGTCATAATATTTGAGTTCACAAATGCTATCACAGGTGGCGCAAGAATTTGCTTAATGGCATATGTTAACTAGTTGGTTTGGTATTTAGCCTTGAGGCAAGTTACATGAACTTCCCGAAATGTGTAAATAATCGACTTAATCAAAAAAATGGGTAAATAATATACTTCATTAATCCTACTTTAAAAAAACGATAATAATTTTAGCAAACTTTGACGAATTTTTAAAATTAAACTACTTGTCGTTAGGCCGTAATATTACAGTAAGTTCTATAAGACCATGATGTATATCGCCAAAAAAATTTCCATGAAAATCGGCTTAAATTTTTTTTTCAACAGTTAATTACAAGAAAACGGCTCGGTAGATTTTCACCTAAAATTAATCAGTACCATTCCCAACTAATATCTTTCGAACAGTTTTTGATATTTTAAAATCGGTTCGGTAGGATGAGCTTAAATGTCGACGAAAATTTAACACTTTTTTTCAACAGTTAATTACAAGAAAACGGCTCGGTGGATTTTCACCTAAAATTAATCAGTATCATTCCCAACTAATATCTTTCGAACAGTTTTCGATATTTTAAAATCGGTTCGGTAGGATGAGCTTAAATGTCGACGAAAATTTAACACTTTTTTTCAACAGTTAATTACAAGAAAACGGCTCGGTAGATTTTCACCTAAAATTAATCAGTATCATTCCCAACTAATATCTTTCGAACAGTTTTTGATATTTTAAAATCGGTTCGGTAGGATGA